AGTGGAGTGCAAATGTTTTGAGAATGATGAGGGTAACAAATGTACAAATTGCTTTACACGATTGATGTATGTATGGATTGTGGTAAGAATTGTATGAGTCCCCAATAAAATGATTTTTTAAAAAATGGATCACAAGCCTAAACTTAATAGCTACAAATGTGGAGCAACCACTTCAGTGAGGTGGATCCACAAAAGGTTTAGGTGGATCCTCAAAAGGTTACACACAGAGTTACCGTATGACCCAGCAGGACCACATCAAGGTGCATAGGCGAAAGAAATGAAACATGTGTCCAAAAAACACGTGTCGACAATGTTCAGGGCAGCGTTATTCATAAGAAAACACAGAAACCTCTCAAAGGTCCCAGAGGTGAAATATGGATCAATTAAATGTGGTATATCCATACAGTGGAATATTATTTGACCAAAAAAGGGGGGGGAATGAAGTACTGATACATGTTAAAACATGAAAGACTACATATGATTGGATTTGTGTGAAATGCCCCAGGCGGCAAGTCTATAAAGCAGAACGGAGAGGATTGCCCAGGGCTCAGGAGAATGAAGACCTTAGAGATGACAACCAAAGGGCAGAGGCTTCTCTTTGGAGAAGATGAAAATGCTCGAAAGCTGACTGTGGTGACGGATGTACCACTGTGAACACCCGGAAGCCATTCAACTGTACACTTTCAATGAGTACACTTTATGTTATCTGAGTGATAGCTCAATACTATTTTTTTTAAGAGCAAAAACTATAAAACTTCTACACAAAGAAAAGATTTGTGTGGTTGGGTGAAGCAGGTTCCTCAGAAGAAAAAGCATAATTCACAAATGAAAACCTGACGATAGGAGCTTCATTAGCATTTTAAATGTCTCTGATAGACAGTTAAGAGAAAAGAAGGGAAAGGCAAGCTGCAGAGTGAATGTTTTGTAAACCATCTATCTGATAAAGGACTTACATCTATAAAGAACACAAGAAAACAAGCAGATACACAACTCCATTTTTAAACAGGCCGGAGACTGAGCAGCTCGTCACCCACTGTGAATAAGGATGCAACAAGGGTCCAGCCACTCAGAAAACAGTTGGGCAGACTCTTATGAGGCAATACTTACAATTACCCTGTGACCCTGCAATTCCACCTCTAGGTATGCATCGTACATACTCGAGTATAAGCCGACCCGAGTAACAGCCGAGGCACCTAACTTTCTCACAAAAACTGCCGTTAAAAATGTGCTGAAAACTCGGCTTATACATGAGTGAGTATATATGGTACTCAAGAAAAAGGAAAACACAGCCACATAAAGAGCTGTCCATTAACATGATCTCAGGGCAGCTTTGGGCCATAAATAGTCAAAAACTGGAAGCAACCCAGAGGTGCATCAACAAATGAGTGATAAAAAACCACCCAAGACCTGCCCAAATAAATCCATCAAGGAACACGATGATTCAAAAGGATCACACTCCTGATATATATGCAACAGTGTAGATCTTTAAAGGGTTATATTAAGAGAAAGAAGCCAGACACAAAAGATCACCTAGTGCATGATCCTTTTATTTACCATTCTAGAAAAAAGCAGATCCATGGTTGGCAGTGGTGGTTGGAGAGGGCTGACTACAAAGGGCATGAGGGAACTTCTGTGAGTTGGAAATGTGATCTATCTGGATTGAGGGGGCCAGAAACACTTAAAATAGATGAATGTGAATGCAAGCAAATTATGCTCAATAAAGGACAGTCTGTAGTTTTATTTTCTTTCTCAAGTTTAGAGAGGTTCCCGAGGTCTTAGGTAATTCCCAAAGGATTCAACTCTGCTTACTTTTGGGATCTGGCCTTTATTTCAACTTCTCACATGCTTTATGATTCAAAGAACAGCACACTTTTACAGTACAAAACTCTCAATTTCGTGCACAGGGTTCTCAGATGACAAAGACGATGCTGATCTAACAGCTGCTCAAGCTGTGTGCTGGACTGTAGGAAGAGGAGCGGGGCGTCAGGCCTGGCTTATCGACAGCCCTCACTACGCGGACACCACCAACCACCCTGCTGCCGAAATCAAAGACAACTTGAAACCCTTACTGATGCAGATCAAAGACCATAGACTTCAGCACAGATTATAACTCGACCCGAAAGGAAAACAAAAGAAGAAATCCTCGCAACTGGAACAATCAACATCGTCATGATAAATGGAAAAAATATCAAAGTTGTCAAGGATTTCATTTTACTTGGATCCACAATCAGTGCTCACAAAATCAGCAGTCAGAAATCAAATGATGCATTCCATGGTCAAATTTGTTGCAAAAGATCCTTTAAAGCCTTCAAAAGTGGAGATGTCACTTTGGGGACTTAGGTGAGCCTGTGTTCCACGCGCCTATGAAAGCTGGACATGGAAGAAGGACAAATGAAGTATTATGAATGCAGTTCAGTTATGGCGCCAGCAAATCACACTGCCTGTGCCCTGGGCTGCCAGGAGAACATGTCTTGGAAGGAGTACAGCCAAACCCTCCGTGGGAGCAAGGATGGGGAGAGTTCACCTCACATACTTTGGATACGCTTATCAGAAAGGATCATGACGGGCATCGTGTTCGGTGAAAAAGAGGGCGGCCCTCAACAAGATGTGAGCTAACACCGTGGCTGCAGCAACGAGCGTCAAGACGGAAATCACTGAGAGGCTCACTGAGGACCAGGCAGTGTTTTGTTTTTGTTACACATGGGGTCACTTGACATCACCTGACAACATCTGCTCTAGCTCCGTTACAGATGCAGTCAAACATGATCTGCTCTTCCTGGGATTTTTCTCGCTTCCTTGCTTTTCGTATCTCCGCACTGAAAAAGATTTATCATACTGACTAGTGGCACATTCTTATCCACGGGGCAAATTCCAGCCACAGGGCCTGCAACTTTAGTCAGCAGGTCAGCTTTAAACAAAGGAATTTATCTGCCAATATTTAATAGGACACACTGCATTGTGTACAACAAATAATGACTACTTCTCATTACAGCACATTCTTAACCCTATAATGCCGTGACGTTTTCATAACATTTAATTAAAATGTATATATTAATATATATATAGATAACTATGAAAGTATAAAAACAAAAAAAATTTTTTCCTGAAATTAAAAATTCAGGCATTATAGGGTTAAATAATAAAAGGCACGTAGGGCATACTGCAACCAACAGAAACTGTAAGCAGAATGGGCTATCAGTGCAATTAGACCTTCGAGAAGAAACAAAGGCGTGCTGGAAAGGAGCTGGCACACACGGCCCAGAAGTCAACATGGGCTTTCTTGCGTGGCCTACAACACAGCAGCAATGATCGGGACACGTGAACCAGCCCGTGTGAATTGCTCTGAGCATAATGAGCACCTTGAGGAGAAACACGAGTTAATCATTCACACAGAGACCTCTGAACACCAGGAAAAAACAACCCCAAACCCCATGATGTGGGGGGGCTGGAGGGCACATGTGGGTTCTGAAACGGTTGAAGCTCTGTATTACCTGATGTTTTGGAAGACATCGCCTTTGTTAATAAATCTTGCTGTTTCAGCTTGTTCTACAGCCCCCGAGTCAGCAGTGAAAGACTGCTATTTGCAAAGCAATAGGCAACAACCAAAAAAGATAAATAAAAACACAAAGCAAACTAAAATAGACAGACAAAAAGCGCTTCACCCAGATAGTGTAAGATATGACAAAATAATAATTTATAAATTTCAAGGGTTCATGAGGGAGGGGGGAACAGGGAGAGAGGAGGAAAAATGAGCTGATACCAAGGGCTCAAGCAGAAAGCAAATGTTCTGAGAATGATGATGGCAACAAATGTACAAATGTGCTTGACACAATGGATGGATATATGAATTGTGCTAAGACTTGTACGAGCCCCCTATAAAATGATAAAAAACACACACAAAAATGCTTCACCCTTGTTTGCAACTGCCCAGGCAGCAAAGTTAAAACTGTTCTGAAAATATGATGGAATTACAGTTAAGCAAAAGAGGACTCCTCTTCATTGATTCAGTTCCTCTACAGTAAACCAGTATCAACGTCTTTTATTGATGGTTGGGCCCATCTTCCTGATAAGCTGACCTAAGTCGCAGTCTTTCATCCCTTGGCTCTAACATAGGTCATACATGATGAGATGGAGGAAACAAAAGCTAGAGACTTTAGGATTGAGTTGGGCTGACACTCACCACAAACTTCTCACCATTCTGCTCCACATGTTTGTATGTGGGGACCGATATGGGCACTGCTTGCTTTTCTGTGTAATCATAAAAGGATTGTCCCAACGAGTCGTCACTGGGGTCTAGGTTATCCGCCTCATGAGGAGGTACAGATAACACTGTCAAGATCAACTCCTTCTCGCCTGCTCGGATCAGGTCCACCACCTGCTTGTGTGTCGCCCCCTCAACATTCACGCCGTTCCTAAGGGGAAAAAGGGAAAAAGACAATCCCATAAACCAGAAGGGTCCAAACAACTTATAGCTTCACCCTCCTGCCCCCACTCCAGTTCCACTTGACATGAACCCTAAAATCAAAAGATTATTTTGGTTCCAGGAAAGTTAGGTTTTCACAGAGCCTGGTGAGAAAAGCTGGAGTGTGAATTCATGGTGGGGAGAATGGAAACAGGTGAGAGGACCTGCCCTTCCTCAGACTAGAATCCCACCGAGAGTTCAGGAAAGCTCAAGGAAAACACGGTGACGCCCGGGGGAAGACAGCTTTTCAAACCTAACGGTCCAACTTCCTCACCCTAGGCTCGCAGTACACAGTACGATCAAAGTGGCTCGGACCAGCCTACCATTTGAACGACCGTCTCTGTCCGCTTTCAACCTCCTGGGCCTCTGTTTAAAGAAACTGTTCACAAAACACTTATCTTCACCGGTAAAGGAAAAAGGAAAAGACTTAAACCGATGACTCAAGGTCATTTCTTTATATTTATATCCAATTTCTCCTCACAGCCCCAAATTAGTCGACTCTGCTTTCCTTTGCCAAGTTTCACTGCCTTGAAAGTGAAATGGCATATTTATTTCCATACACAACTAGTTTCCCACATCGATTGGTTTTTAAATGGCAAGGAGATTTCTCTCGGAAATCTCATCCACTGACCCAACTTCCTTTTATCTCCCAATCACTTCATTTCCTCTCATAGGAGCCTACTTATTTTCTGGTCTGTGCTATCATACTTGAAGAACGGCATAATGAGCTCAACATAGAAAATACAGGAAAGGGTTTCAAAAACATCAAGGAAAATTCCCATGCTCTTCCAATTCCATTTTCCCATGAACTTTTCAAAGCCCCTCCCCTCTGTTTAGGGTTTCAGAGTATATCAACCTACTCGCTCTTCCTCCTGTTTCACTGTACTGAAAAGTCTGAAACAAGGAAAAGCAGAAACTTAAAAGAACAATCATTTTTGTCAAGAAAGATGCTGAGTCTCACAAAACTTCTTCCACAAACCCAACTACCTTCGCAGACCGCTGACCCAGCCTGCTGTCTCAGCATATGCCACTGGGCAGCCGGCGTGGAGGCTCCCTCCCACGGCTGTCTGTCCCCAAAGAGTTAGGAAAGACACACCTGGCCACTATTCATGTGGTATTTAAAGCCTTGAAACTCTTTTTCACTCCAGTTCCAAACCATTAGGATCGCTACTTCGTGAAAATGATGCTCAGTTTAGTTACAAGCCTTCCATAAACGTTTCAGTCATGGCAATGGTCTCTGTCAGAGTCTGGTATCTGAAACATCCATCTATGTAAACAGGACAGGCCATCTCACCCCGCAGGCCTTCTTCCTTGTTTTGGGCTTAACAAACAAGACAGTAAATTCAGCACTTCTGACATTTCACAGTCTAAAGTCTAATCTATAGACAAACTATTCAGTAGTTTTACATGGACTAGCTGTAGGAAAGAACGAGGTCCTTTTCACTGAATAGACATCGGGCCTTTTACGTTTTGGAAGAAGTCAGGCTAATGAACATGGCCAACAATTGACTCTTACAGCAGGTTGGGTCAACCGAAAAGAAAATGAGCTTTGGACTGACATCTACCTGAGTTCAAATCCTGGCTCTGCCTATTGGTTTTGATCAAGTTAGCTAACCTTTCCTAGCTTTGCTTACATGTAAAATGTAACCGGTTGCTGTGAGAATGCAATCAAACATGTAACTTGCCCAAAACAAGGCCTGAACTTCACTCACACCAAAAGGCTTAAAGAGAAAAGAGTATTTTGCACATGTTGGTTATAAAGAGACAGCAGTTACATAGCAATGGAAATCTATAGTTAAGAACTGGAAAAATGCCTATTGTTAAAATAATAATAATTGTTTGATTTGAAAGCATCTACATAGCAGATTAGTTCAGCATTCCCATGATTTACATTGTTTGTTCTGTTCCATTGATCTAGCTTCCCTTCCTTTCTTCTCGGTCTCACCTTTTTATGCGTGTATGTAAATACTGACCACTCAGTTCACTGCTCACAGGTGACACTTTTCTTTGGCTAAAGGGTGGCCTTGAGAGAGAGCTCAGATTCTGTGTTTAAAGGGCGAGAGTCTCAGGGGTGTCCTCCAGTTTCTCTCAGTCCAGCAAGTCCGGCCTTTTCAGAAAGTTTAGTTTTGTTCTGATTTTTCCTCCATTCTATTCAGAACCTTCTAGCTGGTCTCTGGTCAGAACCATCTGTACTAGTAGCCAGGTACCATCTAGCCCCTCTGGGCTCAGGTTTGAAAGGGTTCTCGTTAGGGTGGGCTAGCAGGTCTGTGGGGATTGCTTTCTTGTATGATCCTTTCTTTCGTGTCATGTAGGATGAGCAGAGCCCAACAGTTGCATCTTTTAGATAGCTGTGACAAGCTTTAAAGGCTCCAGATACTCCTCACCAAACTCAGATAGAGAACCCGATCTTTGTGAACGCAGATGATCCTGCGACCTAGTCCTGAGGCCCCCAAGCCAGTAAACCAATCCCATGAGCTGTTTGGATATGTCTATGAAGGCTCTGTAACTATACCTCTATGTGGTTCGTTATGTGTTTGTATGTGCAGCACAAACATATTTACACACATACTTCTGTATATGTGTCCATGTCTATATACACACATGCATTTACTTGTGTATACCTCTTTATACACATATATGCATCCACATATACCTATGCTATCAGACATATTTGGGGGGGTGTGTTATTGACTATTGTTGCAAAATTATGTATGCTAATGCTATAGCATCTAGAGTACTTGTTCCCTTACTTCAGACACTTCTTGGTGTCTTTATGTTGGCCAAATGGTGTTGACGTCACCCATGTCTGGTCTTATCTCTCCCATCACTAAAAGTAACAAATGTCGACTATCAAGTAAATGATTCCCTGCCCTCCACCCCTCCCCACTTCCCCAGCCCTGGTAACCATCAAACCATCAAAGAAATTTGGTTTCTGTGTATATTTACTCTGTTTTTTCCCTTTAAATAATGCATAATAGTATTTGCTTTTTTGTGATTAACTTCTTTCACTCTGATTTGGCTTATTTGATGGCAGAATAAAGTTGAAGAAATAAAGGTCAGAAATCATCTATCTCTATGATCTTAGCTTACAAATATCTATGTGTTTTTGTTGTTGTTTAACAAGTTGGGGAAAACCAATACTTTCAAAACAGACCAAAACATACTGAGTACTAAAGATTTTTATGTGAGGGCAGTTCATTTTAGCAGATGAGCACTGTGGAGACAGTTACTTTGCAGCTCCCTAACGGTTCTCCATTGCATGGAGAATTACTCTTAGCCCGGGGTACTCTAACAATGTCCTCAGGGATCTGTGAATCCCGGAATTGGGATATAAAGTTATATGCTTGTATGTACGCATTCCAAAAATAAAGAAGGAGTGCTCCTTAGAAGCAAGGATGGCAAGATTTCAACTTGTATACTTTGGACATGTTGTCCGGAAACTTAAAGAGAAGGGCATCATGCTCGGCAAAGTAGAAGGGCAGGGAAGAGAGGGAGGACCTCAACAAGGTGGACTGCCACCAAGGCTCACGCATGCTAACAACTGTTAGATGGCACAGGGCAGGGCAGTGTTTCCTTCCGTTGTGCTTAAGGTTAGAACGGATTAGATGGCACCTAGCAACAATACATGCATTGTTTTCTTCTTAGAGGGAGTAGCCAAAGCTTGTACTAGCTTCAAAGGAGAAGACATTACCTTTAAAAGGTTAAGAATTACAGCTTTCAATGCACATCTCTACCCAACTCAGTCTTTAAGTCAGAATACACATTGTATCTAGAATCACTCACAGAAACAGGCTCAGAAAAGAGTAAGAGAAACCTAGGTGAGGAAGAGGAGACTGTCTACTCCCGTAGAGATCTAGAACTAGTCTTGGCAACCCAGTGGGGCAGTTCTGTTCTGCCTCGACTGGATGGCAACGAGTTTGTTTTGTTTGGCTCAAGGCTGAAAACAGCCAGGGAGCCATGGTGAAGGTGCCTTTAAACCTGCTGGCTGAGGTTTCACGCTACTAATTAAGATCCAGCTTCACACTGCCTACCAAGCAAAAACATCCTGAAGAACTGTTTCCTCCAGTGAAACAGACAGAGGAAGAATTCTCAGTGTCACATTTTAAACATACTTGTGCTAATCCTTATCTGGTTCAACTCTAGAAGGAATGCTACACCTGCCATAATTTAACACAAAGCTGGATTTGTCAGAGAATGAAATGAGGTTAGTAAAAACCTCAGGCTGTCTGATTTCAAAAATTAAGGATTAAAGGTTCTTCATGGTCATAAAAATGTTGATACAGTATCTCTTTTCCACAGCAATGCTACTATACCAGGCTCAAATTAGGTGTGGCCCAATTACTTGGGCAATTCTGATGCCATCATGAATGTAAAATAAAAAATCTGCAATAAAAGAAAAGTTCAGTGGTACAGACTTCTGCTTCGAAGTATGTTTTGGAGTCTGGAAAACTTTGGTTTGGCAATCACCGCTGCCATTTAGCATATGTGAACCTAAAGTGAACTATCTTCTCTCACTAAGCCTCCATTTCTTATCCATAGCTAATAGCGTAGCTCTAAGAATTAAAACGAGGTAACACTTAGCACAGGATTTAGACCATGACTAAACACTCAATAAACGAAAACTATTCACTCATGCTATAGATTTATATCAGGGAGGCAAGCAGGTGGGTAGTATTTTGGTCTTTCTACTACCAATTTCCTTTGCCTTTCTTCAGTTTTTACAACTCAAGCTAGTTGGAATGCTTTGAATATGAGTCATTGCGCTCTTAACCAATGCTAACAGAGATAAGAAAGTCCCTTTCATAAGACTACTGCATCACAGAACCACCAAACCCTCCACAATACAAAACAAAACCCAAAACTTGCTCCCATCTAGTGGATTCTAACTCCCTGTGATCCTGACACCAATTACAATCGCCCCTGTGGGTTTGCAAGATTGTAACTCTTTGCAGAAGTAGAAAGCCCAACATATAACCCAATCCACCCCCGAGAGCGCC